CCATATTAAGGCCCTAATCCTCAAAGTGATGGCATTTGGAAGGTGCCTTTAAGAGGTAGTCTATGGAGTCCTCCTGAATGGAACTAGTGTTATCCTAAGAAGAGGCAGGAAGGAGGATGATCTCTTCTCTCCCCATGTAAGACAGAGCCAGAAGACTTTCACTTGTTAGGGAGGAAGAGGGCTTTTATCAGGGATCAAATCAGCCAGCACCTTGACCTTGGATTTCCTAGACTCTAGAGCTTTGAGAAGTGAATTTATGATGTCTAAGCCACAAAGTCGATGACTTAATAGTCTAGAGCAGCTCAAGCTAAGACACCTGCATAATGGCCTGAGGGCTAGTGGAAACCGAATTGGCTGAGATCTCACTCTTGTGATTATGCTGTATTATTTATCAAGACGTATTATTATTTATGATTTATTGAGTGAAACTGACTTAAGCAGGTAAACTGGATAAAAGCAAAGTTTTCTACATAGTCAAGTTCAGAGATCTGAAGCTCAGAGATCTGAAACTTGAGAAGGATTCATCACATAATCACTGCTTCAAAGACGGAGGGCATCACATGGTAAGGAATATAGGTAGCCAAATAAGCTGGTGGTGGTCCCTAACTGACTTCCAGCAAAGAAACAGGAATCTCAGGCCTATGACTATAATGAACTGGGTTCTAACGACAACCTGAATGAGTTTGGAAGCAGATTGTTTTCCAGAATCTTCAGTCAAAAACTCAGCCTGGCTACCATCTTGATTTCAGTGTTGTGATACTCTGAGCAGAGAACTTGGTTAAGCCACGCCTGGATTTCTGATCTACAGAACTGTAAGTTAATAAGTGGATGCGATTTTAAAAGAATTTTAAAAAGAAAGGAAAGATCAGTGAAAAGATAGTTTCTCTTGTAGAAACTATCCAAAATAAGATACACAGGGAAAAAAAGTCTCAAGAAATAAACAGAGTATGAGTTTGGAGATGTGGGATAAGTTCAAGTGGCCTAATACATGTTTAATTGGAGCACTTGAGGATAAGGGACAAGGACTGAAATTTTTTTGAAAAATGATTGAAAAACAAAGGCAAATATATTCCAAATTTGATAAAAATAGGTCCAGGAATCTCAAGCACAAAAAAGGAAGAAAATTATACCAAGGCATATTATAATCAAATTGTTCAAAATCAGGGATAGAATATTTTTAAAGCTGCTGGAGAGGGGATACACATTATGCATAAAGGAACAAAGATAAATATAAAAGACTTTTCACTGGAAACCAGTTAAACGAGAAGTCAGTGGAAAAATATCTTGACTTTTTTTTAAAACTTGACTTCAGAACTTGAATTCTGAAGAAAGTAAAAAATGTGTATTAAAATGAAGGTGAACAAAAATTGAAAGACTTAATCACAATGTACAAAACTTTAGAGGAAGTTTTTCAGATGAAAAATGAAAAGTTTTTCAGATGAAAATCTGGATCTCTACAGGAATAAAGAATACCAGAAATGGAAACTAAAAGAAAAAATATATATTTTTTTCTGGTTTAAATATCTTTAAATGAAAACTGAGTGCTGATAGTCAACAATAATTACAATGTAATATGAGTTTATAATGTATATGTATAAATATGACATATATGTTCTCTCTATATATTTACATACATACATATACATGGAGCAAATGCTGACTGAGTTGAAAGTAGATAAAGACAAATCTACAATTATAGTTTTAGATCTCAAAGCTCTCCTTAACTACTGATAGAAGATGGAGACACAAAACCAGGAGTAGTACAGAATACTTGAACAATGCTATCCATCAAATCAGCTTATGATATTTGTAGAAAAGTTTACATAGAAAAAGCAGGATAGACATTTTCTCTAAGTAGGCAAGAATCGTTTACTAAGATAAACGTTGCTGTGGGTCCTGAAACAAATCTCAATAAATTTTAAAAGGCTCCAAGTCACAAAGAAGTGTATACTTGGTTTCTGCCCATAATTCCTGACACAGAGACCCTAAAATTTTTGTAATTTCCTGAGTGATTACGTGCTAGGTACATCCTTTGTTCTAATATTTGGTCTTTGACCCCCAATTCCTGACACAAAGCTCTTAAATCCCCTTGCAATGTTCTGGGAGCATTTCTCATTTTAATGAGGAGACTCAGTGGATTGGATTGTGAATAGCTTCAGGATAGGGCTGGTCACTAGAAAGACCTAGTCGTGATTAGAAGTGTGAATATTCAGATCCAGCCCCTTTTATTATAAGCTTATGATAAAGCTTATATAAAAATCTCTAAACTGCAAGGTTTGGAGAGCTTCTGGGTTGGGCAAACACACCCATGTGGCACACCCCAACTCCATGGGGCCAGAAGCTCCTATGCTTGGGAACTTTCTGGACTTTTCCTATGTACATCTTCATCTGGATATGTTCTTGTATTCCTTGGCATGTCCTTTACAGTAAACTGGTAAATGTAAGTAAAGTGTTTCCCTGTGTTCTATGAGCTGTTATAGCAGATTACAGAATCCAAGGCAGGGTTGTGGGTTCCTCTAATTTGTAGCCAGATTGGACAGAAGTACAGCGCCAACTAGTTGTGACATTTGAGGTAGGGGGAAGTCTTGTGACATTGAGTCCTTCACCTGTGGGGTTTGTGCTAAACTATGGGTAGTTAGTGTCAGAACTGAAATAAATTGTAAGAAATCCAGCTGGTATTCACAGAGAATCGGGAGAATTTCTTAGTGTGAAAACGCCACACATTTGGTATTAGAGGTAAGTATAGAGACAGGGCTTTATTTTATCTTCCAAAGGATGTCCTCCAGCCACATGGAATTATAAATTGAAATAAATAAGAGAAAGATTTATTGAAAGTTCCCAAACACTGGCAAACAACAACAAAAAGTCACACTTCTAAATAACCATATGCAAAAGGAGAAACAAAAAAAGGAAATTTGAAAATATCTTGAACTCAAGAAAGATTGAAACCCAACATATTAAAAGCTGTAGATTGCGTTCAATTACAGTCCATAGAGGGAAATTTATTATACTAAACACGCATATTAGAAAACTAAGTACATCAGCAGTTAAAACCATTTTAACCAGAGAAAAAAGAAATCATAAAGATAAAAACAGAAGTTACTTAGTTGCATATCCTCATGCAAGAAAAAAATTCAAAACACATCTCACTCTACATACAAAAGTCAATTCAAATGGATCATAGACTTAAATGTGAAACTTATATCTTTAGATCTTTTAGAAGAAAATGAAGGAGAAAACCTTTGTGACTTTGAATTATGCAAATATTTTTCAGATAAAGCAAAAATCAAGGTGCATAAAAGAAAAAAAGAATTTAGCTTCATTAAAATTCAGAACATCTACTTGCAAAAGATCCCATTAGAAGAAGGCAAAACAAGCCACATACAACATAATAAAGTTATCAGTTATTAGGCAAATGCAAATTAAAACCATGATGAGATACCATGACACACTCATGAGATGCCAACAATTAAAAAGACTGACCATACGCAGTTCTCGGAAGAATGTGGAGGAACTGCAACTCTCATAGATCACTGTTGAGAATGTGAAAAGGTAAACTACTATGGAAAACTAGTTGGCACCTTTTAAAGAAGTTAAACATCTAAGCTACCATTTGCTCAAGAGAAATTAAATCAGGAATTCATACCAAGACTTGTACAAATGTGATAGTAGCTTCACTTTTAAAAGGAAAAGAAAAAAGTTCCCAAATGGCCATCAACAGGAAGATAGGTAAATTGTGGTAACCACACAATTCTATCCAATAAAATTCTGATAAAAAGGCATGGACTGTTATTACAAAGTTTGATTTTAAAATAGTTATGGTGAGTGAAAAAAGTTGGTAAAATAACATACATATGATATGATTCCATTTATACAAAACTTTAGAAAATAAAAATTATAGTGACAGAGCAGATCAGTGATTGGGAATTGGGATGGAACTGTGGAAGGCTAAGCAGGAGGGATTTCCAGTAGGCACCATGAAATTTGGAGGATCAGGGATTGTATGTTATCTTGATTGATATAATTGTTTCACATGTCAAAATTTATCAAATTGCATGTTTTACACATGGACAGTTTAGTATTTGTATTTGTATTTGTATTTTAGTATCTTCTGCCCTGCCCTTCTGTCATGTGGCTGCCTTGGAGCCAGCTAACCATGGACTGAAGCCTCTGAAACAGCAAACTGAAATACGTCTTTCTTCCTTTAAGGTGTTTTTCTCAGGTATTTATCACAGTGATGAAAAGCTGATTAGCACACCAAGGCTGCACTCCTGTGTCTTTATTGCTGGGACATTAGGGAAATTAGTTAAAATCTCTGGACCTCAGTTTTCTCACATGTAAAGGGGGGAACAATAATGGTACATGTTTCATGGAGTTACTGGGACATTAAATAAGTTAATCCATTTAAAGAGTTTAGGATAGTACCTGACATTTAATAATAGATTAAATAAGCTTCTGTCATAGTCACTATTTTCTGGTAAAAAAATACATTAAAATTATATTGCAGACTGTTCTACAGAGGAGTTAGTGCCTCATAATATGAACATTCAAAATTAAGTTTCAACTTATTTCAAGGGATCTTACACAACCTATTCAGATCTGAATGTAAACAGCTGTTTTCCTCACTGACAAGATAGCCATCATTTGATATCCATTGTTTCTGTTTTTCTCTGCTTTAGGAAAAAAAAAATATTTCTCAAGGTGAGGTCTTTGATGTCGATTTCCAATTATAAATTATTTCTACATGCTGTTGGAATAGCACACGCAACTACACAAAGAAATCTCCCACTTAAACACATCATCACATATTGTTTTTGAAGGTGAAGATGATGCCGGCGACTGGCTCGTTGTAACTGGAGTCAGACAACATCAGCCTATGTACGTCCACCCCTGGACAATCACCACTAACACACAGGCTGGCATTGCTCTGTCAGTAGCATTTGAATCAAACTGACTCCAAGTTTCCTCCCCAAATAACACAGATCACACCTCTTAAATACCTGGTGAATGAAGCTTGGTGGTAGAAGCTGCTGTTCTCTTAGGAGATGAAACAGTAGGTTTATTGGCATCTTGATCTTTTTGTGCTTCTTTCTTTGCTCCTATGTATAGTTTTGAGAAAAGAAATAGACAGAAAAAGCTAGTTACAATTCAATGGTCAGGGAGCATAAATTGTGCAAAGGGCATTTTAACAAAACAATAATAACAAAATATTTGGATGATTTGTTTCTATGGTCACTACCCCCTGGGTTGGAGGGATGACATATGTGTTTATAGCAAAGGGAATTTAGTTTTGAGGGGTCAGGGGAAGGATCATACTGCTATCTCTGGTTTGATGAAAAATGCCCCCTTCTCTGAGGTCACTGTCACCTCAGTGACCCTCACAAAGTATCTGGAAATTAAAATTTTACTGTCCTTAGCCAACAACTTGGTCTGCTGGCCTCTCGGCTGAAACAATTTTTCAGAAAACAGGAAAGGAAGCTGTAGCTAAATATCACTGCTAATGATTTCAGCATCCTCCGGAGCCCGGCCCCAGGGGACACAGTCTGACTCTAATTAATTTCCATGAAGCTGGTCCACAGAGGTGACCCAGAGAGCCTTCTAGCTCTTAGGGGCAGTTGAGACTTTGTGGAACCTGAGCACAGGTGGTATCTGGGAACAGCATGTGGATGTGCCTCAAATCATGTCAGGGGCTGACGTGACACAAGGTGGTTTCTCCCTTGTGTGTTGGCCATGACACTTGCCTTCATGTCACTTTCATTGCAAAATCAAAGAACAGGATGGACGATTAGCAAAATCACAGACGTAAGTGTCCCCAGACCTGCCTCTGCTTCACCACTATCATTTTGAATACAAAATTTGGGATGGTGTCAGACACAGAACGTGAATGTCCCCCAAACCCAACATCCAAATTGTCCTTTCCAGAGTAATGAATGCTAGCAATTTGGTGTTTATTTCCCCTGATCTTTTAATAAATATTCATAAATGCTTACAAACATAGCTATTGGCTAAATGAATTAATCAAACACAAATTTCTTTTAAATTAATCACATTTGTGGAAGATATTTTACATCAGTCTATTTACAGATCTTTTTGAAGTGCCACATCATATTCATGAGAAAAAGATGTACGATAATTCATTTTACCACCCTCCCCTGGATGAATGTGTAGATCGTTTACAGGTTTTACCTATCAAAATAACTAAATGTGCTACAGGAAGCATTCTGCTAATCTCACCTTTGTACACATGCACCAATATCTTTAGCGGACAAATTCACAGACACAATTTTGCTGGATTACGGGTCTACTCATTTGCAATGTGCTAGACAGCACATCTTTCCACCCAAAGGATGCACTAATACATACTTCCAAATGGCAATGTGTAAGAACAACTCTTCTGACAACATGCCCCATGCCCCACCAATATTGAAGTCTAAATCTACTTTTGCCACAAACCAAGAATCTTCACATATTGGTCATATGCATTTCTCGTTTGAAAATCACCTAATTACACACAGCTCTTTTTATAACTATTTGCCCATTTTCTTATTAATATGTAAGAACTCTTCATTTATTCTAGGTATCAATCCTTTATTATTTCATAGATAACATTTTCAGCTTTTCGGTTTTAAAAACATATTTACAGTATCTGTAGTTTAAAATTTTCATATGTTGAAATATGTCAATTTTACTCTTTACAGAATTAAAAGCACTATTACAGATTTCTAGATCAATCTGTAATTTACTTATTGTAGGGATCTGGAAGGTTGGTATTTCACTTCTCCACTCCTCAGAGGTCCCAGGCACACATTAGGATATCCCATATGGGGCTAACATCACCCATCTCTGAGTCCCTCTGCTTTGACTTTAGGTATCAACAAATGTGGAAAGATATCATGATTCCTGAGAACTGAGAAGGGAGATATGTTAAAGGCCAGATATCCACCAAACATGTTTCCTAAAAAAGGAAAACGTGAATATTTATTTAGCCTTTCAGTATTTTCCATTAAGGTTTCATGGAGTACAATTTATGGCCTTAATTAGAAATTTAAATATTGAACCATTTGACCCTGTAATTCTTCTTTCTTTTTCTTTTATCTTTTCTTTTTCCATTTTGAGAAGTTCTGGGACTTATATACATAATGGTACTATGGCACTTACAATTCAATAGGAAGCAAGCTTCCTGAGCATAGGATCTGGCCACGTGTGATGATGGATAGAGCCTTATGCTTCACACTAAATAGCACTCATTATATACCCGATGACCTTGCAATTCTATTTCTACCAATGTCTTCTTGAAAACTCCCATAAGTGTGCAAAGATGCACACACAAAGACATGGATCACATTAATTGCAAAAATGAAGATTTGTAAATAACTACAAATGCACATTGGAGAATGATTAAATAAATTCTGGCATATCCAAACCATGGAGTACTATTAAAACTACCATTAAAAACAATGAGGCAGCCCTGTAGTATACTGGCATGGAAATAGTCATAATAATAAAAACGTTAGCTGTTGAACAGAATGCATTACCCCATGTTTATAACACAAAATGTCATCTGGAAGACCTGCAAATTTTTTAATAGTGGTTACTTCTGAACAGTAGGATTGAAGGGCTTTTACTATTTATGTTAATATGCTTCTGCGGTTATTTCTATTTTTTTTATGATGATCACACATTACTTGTATAATAAGAAATAAAAACACAAAAAAAAGAGAAATGAAAATAATTTGTCTGATCCATGAAAGGACAGGAGAAACTAGTCTCGTTTAAGCCATCCTAGAGGAATAGCTTGGATGGAGAGTTTCAGACTCCTTCTGCCAACAAACCTCCCTGTAGGACACAGGCTGCCTGGAGGGGGAGGGATGTGCCTGTGTAGTTATGGAATTCTTGATGGTCCAGAGAATTAAAACCATTACTCAAGACAGTCCCTTCTTCTTGCAGCCTTCTTCAATTTAGATTCATCCTAAATGTTTTCCTAAGTCCACTGTAAGCCACCCTTACATGGGGGGCTGAGTGGCTAGTAATGCTAGTGTGGTCCTTGGTCTCATGGCTTTCCCATTGTCCTTGGTCATTTGCTCTCAGCCTCCTTTGCTTCTGTTTCCTTCTTTTCCTTCCCTTGAGCAAAAGTATCCCAGGCTGCTGCCCCAGCCTTCTGCTGTCTCCTCTTCTGGGTGAGCTTGTCCACCCAGCTTGCTTGCACCACTGATGTATGTACACCAGTGGCTACAAAAAATCTGTCATTTTCAGTGAGGGTAGACCAGACATCTCCCCTGAGATCTGGACCTGTTTCTACTACACAGACATCACCACTAACCTACTAGACGACAAAACCGTCATGACCCAAATGGAGCTACCAAATCAGCTTTTCCTTTCAGCCCTCTTCCTGAGTCATCTTTCCTGGTCCACTGTTCCCCCAGTCACCGACACCAGAGACCATTTGTCCTCATCTTTATCGTCCCACGTCTAAGCAGTCACTGCGTCTTCCTGCCTCTGCATCTGTGATGGTGCCTGAATCTGACCCTTGATTCATTCTCACTGTTTACCTAGCTCACTTCTCCCATCATTTCTTGCTGGGACAACTACAAAAATCTCCTGAGTGGTTTCTCTGACTCATGTTTTACCTTCTTCATCTTTACCTAACTCATCCTCCTTCCCACTGCCAGAAGGGCCTTACCAAATCATTAACCAGATTACATGTGTTTATTTTCAAAAGACTTTCCAAAGCTTCTCATGGTCTAGGAAGTCCCAACTCTATGGCATGGGCTAAGTGACCTCCAGGATCTCATATCCTTTGCCCCTTGTCCCATCTGTCATATCACAGATCCTGGCCTGCAGTGTCATAACCCATGTTTCCCCCTTAAGCTGAAAGGTTCAGCCTCTCTTGGGTCTGCCTCGTCTGCTGCTCAGTCTCATATTCAGCTTATTTTTCTTATTGGAAACCTCTGTATTAGTTTCTTATTGATACTCTAATGAAAGACTATAAACAACCCAAATTATAGGATGTAGGGGTGCACACCTGTAATTCCAGCGGCTTGGGAGGTTGAGGCAGGAGGATTGTGAGTTCAAAGCCAGCCCCTGCAAAGTTCTAAAGCAAGTCAGTGAAATATAAATAAAATATAAAAATAAATAAACAAAATATAAAAAAAGGGCTAGGGATATAGCTCACTGGTTAAGCACCACTGGGTTCCATCCATGGTACCAAAAAGCAAAAGCAAAATCAAAACAAAACAAAAACCCCAAATTTACTCTCTTATATTCTGGGGATCAGAAATCTGAGATAATTCCCACTGGGCTAAAGTCAGTGCTTCAGCAGGACTGTTTCCTTCTGGAAGCTCAAGAGGAGAATTCTTTCTTTTTAAGCTTCTAGTGACTTCCTTTATTCCTTGGCTCATGGTTTCTTCTTCTGTGTTCAGAGTATACCATCCAGTCCTGGATTCCATCAGCACATCTCCTCCAACTCCTCCTGATTCCCTCTTAAAAGGATGCTTCTGATTACACTGAGCTAATCTAGATAATCCAGGATAATCTTCCTATTTCATAATGTAACTTAATCACATCTGTAAAGTCCCTTTGCAACACTCAAAGATTCTAGCAATTAGCACATGAAGATATTTGGGGGTCATTATTCAGCCTATCACAACTTCCCCATCTAACTGAATGAAATAATGAAGAAACTCTTTTTACTCATAAAAAAAAAAAGAAGAAAACACTAACCTCTTGGTCTGTCTTAGTTCCTTATGTTCCGAAAACTTCTTTATGAAACTTTTTCTAACTTCCTTGACATTTCTTGCTTAGCAATCTTTCCTTAGACTTTAATCATTTTTTTTTTTAATTTTCTTTCCCCTTGCAGATTACATGTATCTTGCCTGGTCTGGTCAGCTTCTTTTAACAGTATCCATGCTTACCTTGGGAATCCACCTTTTCCTCCCCTTGATGCACGTGGTTCAGTAGGGCCGATCCACCTGGATCTGGAGGTGGGCATGTGGTCCAGACCTGCCTAGTCAGAACTCGGCATCACTCTGGCATTATGCTATGTCTTGGTTTGAGAATGAAAACATCCATGATTCTTGCCTTGGAAATATTGCTGGAATTA